TAATTTACTTTTCCAAAGAATTTAGAACTCCAAATTGCTGACTTTTCATTTTCTAAGAATTCCTTTTCTGATTTGCTGTTTCATACACAAGCAATTCATATATCTTTTACTTAAATGTAAATGAGGCTTGTGAATACTCTGAAATAATTAAGAGAATGAGGGATTTAAGCTAGCATGAAGTAAACAAACCTGTTAACCATTTCAGGAAAAATAAGGGGTACATAAAAAGAAAAACTATAAAAACTACATGAAACTTTCTAACATCTATTTTCTTATCTACAGCAAAAGATGTTGAAACCTACCATGTTCAATATTTACCCTATCACAGGGATTGGGGGATTAGATATATACAAAAAATGAAGAACTTACCTAGGCTAGAATTGCCTTTTGCGATAGTAATAGTCCTCTCAGAAGATTCTTTGCATATATTTTGGATCATGACACACTCAGCATTAGAGGCCAGAGAGCTCTGTTCATTTAAGTACTCAGAACCCTGAAGGAAAGAAAAAACAAGTCACATGGAAAGGACCACTAGACTTTGGAGTGTGATTTCAACATCACACACATTCTCTAATTGTTTGTGCTTTATTTAGCAAGAACTTATAACCAAAAGAAGTTCACAGGTTGCCTTCTGAAAATCTGAGTCAGGAGAGCACTCATTCCAAATGCAGATTAGCCAGAATACTCTTACACTTCACTTTCCCGTACCTCATCAGAATATAAAAACCATACTCATATCTTTAAAATATTACCTTTCCAGTTGAATCAGGTAGCACAGAAGAAGTAAGTTCTGCACTTGATATAACTTCACTCGGTAACTGAGATTCATTCCACACTATTGTGTTTTCACATTCGCATTGTTGCTCAATAGTATTTGCAGGTGTAAAATCGTTTATGGTAAAGCCAGAATCAGGCCCCATGCTCAAGTCTACTGAAGGTGGATTTTCATCCTGTCTTTGCAGGAGATTCTGGGCATATAGTTCCTCCAAGGACATATGTAGATCAAGTACCGAATCAGAATTTTCAGTAATATCCTGATGATTAAAAAAACAAAAAAATCAAAAATTGTGACCAGAATTACATAAATGTATTTTATAAGACCACTTCTTAATGAACAACTATTTAGTGAAAAATAAAACACAATTATTTATTACTCAAAAAACATTAACAAACATATAAATTCTTCACTTAGCACATTTTCCCCATAACTTTATTTTCATAAATGCATTTGAATATATTTCTTGCAGATCATACATCTCATGCTGTACTGAGTTATACCTGTACAATATACTGTACATAAGATTATTTAGATACAATACTATGTTCTATCCACAAAAAGAATTAATCAGAATCCAAATTACATAGAAACGCAAATAACTTTCCAAATAAAGTGAGATATTT